GTCCCTCGGCCCTTAAAGGGGAAAGGTTGCCTACCCCTGGCCTAGTTTATAGTATATCGGTCTGTGAGTGATACAAATGAAGAAGAAACGTGTAGTAGCTTTCAGGTGCCTCCTTTTGGCCATGATCAATGAGTCCATCCTCTATTAAATTTTGTGAAGCAGTGATTTTCCAAAGCCTTCTGTTTGTTGCTCCTGGTTTTATATAGAGTACATAGATACATGTGTGAAAACTTATTGTTTGTAAAGAAAAGTTAAACCTTCAAACTGGACTGAGAATACCTAGTTAGTATTGTGATGGGAGAAGTTCACAAAAGAGGGTACAGAAAAAATGCACCCTTCAAAGCTATTTCGTTAAAGGGGGAGACAATATAAAGGAAAGGAAAAGGCATTCCTCGTTGACAAGCTTGTCAAGTTGTGTCTGACTGTAGGGGGTGGTGCTCATCTCTGTTACTAAGCCGAAGAGCCAGCATTGTCAGAGACTACTCGGTGACCATGTGGCTGGCATGATTTCACAGAACACTGTTTACCTTCCCACTGAAGTGGTACCTATTTATCTACTTGCATTTGCATGTTTTCAAACTGCTTGGTTGGCAGAAGCTGGGACTAGTGACAGGAGCTCACCCCATCATGTAGCATTCGGGCCTCCTTTTTTCCTTTGTTGGGTATGTCACCTTATAACAGCTTCTAAATGTGCAGAGTCCAACAAGAGCTATTCTTTTATTTACACAGTTTATCACTTTTAATGTCTGCCTAATGTGTAGTTGTTAAAAAAGCTGGATTCCTGACTTAATTGAATTTTTCCGTTTATAAAGAAAAGTGTCATTATGAAAATCTGCTGATATTTTAGTTCGCTGATCAATAGTTGCTGATACTCCGTTCTGACAAAATGTCAAATATTTTATAATGTACTAGTGAAAAAATGCTGAGAAAGGTAAGCAAAAGACAAAAAGGCCACACTGTGAGATTTCAGGGAAGTCCCTTGGGGTTTTGTGCTTTCAGCAGACATTGCCTGTACATTTTGCTTTCAGCAGATACTGCCTGTATATTTTCTTATTCTTCCTGAGGACTAAATATTTGCTTTTTGACAAAGCTTTTGTAATTTGCACATTATCTATTACTGAGAATGTTTGAAGTTATGATACCACTTTGTTGATATGTGCCTTAAAATAGCTTCCAACTTATGGCAACCCTAAGGCAACCCTGTCACAGGGTTTTCTTGATAAGATTTGTTCAGAAGGGGTTTGCCTGAGATCACCCAGTGGTTTTCCACTGGCTAGTGGGGATTCAAACCCTGATCTCCAGTCATAGTGCAGCACGTAAACCACTATGCCATGCTGGCTCTCTGGTCTCATACATTGCCCTAGGATACTTCAAATGAACTGGATGATAACTGGCCAGGGAGATAGCTTTTTTCTGCAATAGTTTAACCAATGTCTATTCAGTACTCATGGCACAGTGCCTTCTTTTAATGAAGTATTCCCTGATTCTACCACCCAACTGAATAATTTCTCTGCCAGACCTAATCTCCAAAGCAGTGCAAGAGCTACAAAGGCACATGGTATATGGTTGGCCTAACACCATTCATGTGCACATCATAGTGCATGTATTTAGATCAGGAGAATATTTGTAGCTATAACTCTGATAAAGTAAACAGATAGTAGCAATAAATGTTAAAAAAGACAGTATAATTATCATATAAAACATAACAGGAGCCATGCATTTTTGGGATGCTTATGTGATTACACCAAAAGAAGTGGAGTTCTGCAGCCCGCCCGATGTAGATTGTAATTCCCAGCATTCCTCATCACTGGTTATACTGGCTATAGGTTGCTTGTGATTTGCAGTACATGAACATCTCAAGGCCCGCATAATTCCGATGTCTCAATCCAAACATGATTACAGAAAAGTAGAAGCTTATTGAGCCAATGCATCAAGCTAAATGGTAGAAAGCTGGGTGATTTCCCTATGTAAAGCCAAGACAAAAACTAAACCTTCTTAATTCATTATGACCTGTTATCCACAGTCAGAGACCCAGAGTCACATGTACAAGATTAAACAGATGCCTGGGGACATGGTAGTCTCCTACTTGTGCAGATGGCGAGCCTCAACTACCATGATGAAGTGTAATCATATGAAGATAAATCGAAGGCACTCTAGAGGCATCTGCACTGTAGAAATAATGCAGTTTGATACCATTTTAACTGCTATGGCTCCATCCTACAGAATCCTGGGATTTGTAGTTTTGTGAAGCACCAGCATCCTTTGTCAGAGAAAGCTAAAGACCAGGTAAAACTACAAATCCCAGGATTTGATTGGATGGATTTACAGCATTTAGGAGCTTATCACACACCTGTAAGAGGCATCTTACCTCTTACAGTGAATTATGTGTGCTAACATCCGGGTGTATCCTGGATCAAGGATTGAACCTGGAAGAGGTAAGACGCCTCTTTCAGGTGTGTGCTAAGCTCCTTAAAGTAGAGTCAAACTGCATTATTTCTACACTGTAGATGCACCTTTTGCCAGTTTTTACTTGTTGAGATCCATATTTTAGGTGTATGCAGCTGCACTGTTGGAAATGGACTTCCCATCCTCCTCCTCTCCACAACAGCTGTCTCCAATCACTTAAAATGCTACACAAACTATTGGGGACCCCTATTAAATGGGGTGAGTGGTAGAGTTTGTGGAATAAGCATCTTCCAAAATCAGCGTCTTCCAAAACATTCTGTGACAAGAGTCCTTCTGTTAGTAGAAGACAGTTGTTTTTATTACGCTACTGAAATCTGCCACATATCTACAGATGGCTGAAACTGAGTATGGGTATAGAGTTTTCTGTACACCATTCAAACTTTCAGAACTTGGGAAGGGTTGCTTAGTGGTTTGAGTATTGGACTACAACTCTTGAGACCAGGGTTTGATTCCTTACTTGGCCATGAAACCCACTAGATGACATTGAGCAAGCCACATGCTCTCAGCCTCAGGGAAGGAAATGGCAAACTTCCTCTGAACAAATCTTGTGAAGAAAGCTGCATGATAGGTTTGTCTTAGGGTCACCATATGCCACAAATGACTTGAAAGCACACAGCAACAACATGCTAGCCTGGGGGTGGTGGTTCTTGGGGGTTGTACTGTAAAATATGTAACTTTTCAGGGCCCTGGCATCATTGCCCCTCCTGTGGTCTTTTTGTTTCATGATAATGCCAATTTGCCATCCGCAGAAATAAACAGCTAACATATCTGGAGGGATCTTTAGAGAGGTCCTGTAGTGTTTCCCATATTTATGATGAAAAATGGAACTCAATGGAATTGAGGCCTTTTGTTGTTGACCTTATCACCAACACATATTTTTGCATTCTCTTTAGAAAAAATGCTATTTGCTGTTCATCCCCCTTCCCCTTTCCACTCATTTGTGTCAGTCTCTCTGAAATGGTTTGAACTCAAGGGTTCCAATACTCTTTTCTCCCACACTTAATGACATTTGTCAATGTATGAACTTTAATCAAAGTGGGTCCTTCTTTGCTAACTCTAGACAAAGATATGAGAAAAACATGATCTGTTAAATCAAATTGAAGGATATTATCATACAGGAAACTATATCAAGGAAAAGGTCAGAGCAAAATGTAGCCAGAGCAAAATTTTCAGAGAAAGGGGTTTTAAGCAGTAAAATAATATCAAATGCATATGATTTCAAAACATTTCATGAACAACAGTGTTGGGGAATTGGCTCTCCAGATGCTTTCAATTAAAGCTACTACAACCTTACTATTAACCATACTGAGTGAGGTTGATGGATTTTGTAGACCCAAACATCTGTATAGTGATTTTTTCCCCAAGACAGCCAAGTTGACTGGGAGTTGTAGTTTGAAAGATAACTTTTCAAAACTCTTCTCTTGCATTATTAGCAGTGCTTGGAGTAGGTGGCCACTTATATACAGTGTGCCCTTTGGATGTGCCGGTGTTTGGTTCCAGGATCTCCTGTGGATACCAAAATCCATGGATGTGCAACCCCCATTGAATACAGTGGCATAGTAAAATGATGTCCCTTGAATAAAATGGCAAAATCAAGGTTTGCTTTTTGAAATTGATATTTTTTGGAATATTTTCAAGCTGTTTATGTCTGACTCCATGAATAAAGAATCCATGGATAAAGAAACTGTGGATATGGAGGGCCGATTGTATCACCAAAAAGAGGACAAAAGAAGGCATCAGTTTGCCTAAAACTACATGTTCTAATTTACAAATGCAAAATTAGAAATGATTTTAATAACTTAAACAAATGTACAACAAAACTCACCCAACTGGAGAAGACTGTGACCAGATGGCCTGCATGCTTGCATGGCCTTCAGTTTAGGTGATAATTGTGGATGCAATGTCAAGGTCCTTAACTCTTTCCTTGTAGTTCTTTATCTTTAAATCATAAGATAAGGACTCACTGGCTAACACTTCAAATGGAAGATACCACTTGGCAGCTTTCATATAGAGGACTGTTCTTTGTAAAAGGAAACATGGATTGGGTGGAAATGTACTTGGGATACCTGAACACTCTTTTTCACATGGGCTTCGAACCAGCTCATTTTTCCCCAGTGGATGTGGAATAATTCTGGGCTGCTAAACAGAAAAGGGTTATTCCAGTATAGCAAAAAACTCATTTGGACCAAGAGCCAATTCACACCACTTACAATTCCACTTTAACCACTTTAGTTTGGTGAGGCAGTAGAGCTCTCAGCTGAGAATTCCAGATGCCCCCCTCTATACTGCATATCCCAAGATTACATAGGATGGAACCATGGCTGTTAAAGAGGAAACATAGGGCTATATTTGTATAGTGTGAAAAGGCCTCAGTCATGAGTTGTTCATGGAGCTGGGGGAGGCAGGCATGGACAGGCTTCCTCTTGCTCAAAAGACCCAAAACTCAAGCCCAACAGAGCTCTGTAGAACTTGGACCTTAGAGGGGGGAAAGCTATGTTTTCAAATGCCTGTCTATCTCTGCAGTGCCTTCTCCTCTCTGCTCTAAAGGCAGCTCTGGATAAGGTTGGAAAATAGGGGGAAGGACCCATAGATGCAATTAGTTTATATACCAGAGATTCTCACAGTGGTGTAAGTACCACTAGATAGTCTGTGAGCAATTTTCAGTTGATCTGTGGAAAGGCTGGACATATTTTTGTGTGAATTTGTCAAATGGATATATTAGTGGACATGTGTCCCCACTGAGAGAGCCAACATGATGTAGTAGTTTGAGCATTAGACTACAACTCTGGAGACCAGGTTCAGATCCCTGCTCAGCCATGGAAACCCATTGGGTGATCTTGAGCAAGCCACAAACTCTCAGCCTCAGAAAAAGGCAAAATCAAAAACCTCTCTGTTGTTTTTGCTCTCTCAAAAAGATGTATTTATTACTTCGGGACAATCAAGACTCAACAGACAAGACACCTTTTCCTCACTCTTCGCATCCACTGGAGAAGGAAAGAAATTTTTGTGAACATGCTAATTTTTCTTTCCTTTTTTTGGATGCTGATGTTCTGGACTGGGAAAACCAGGAAACAAAAGTGGCAAAAATGTTCTTCTGTTAAATCTACAGTGAACCACACATTCCTTCTTTATTATTAATTATTGGGGCAAACATGAGAGGTTTGGTTGTGGAGGTGGTTGGGAATGTACCTCAAACTAGAAAGGTTAATGCCAAAAAAAGGAATGATGACTCTGTCAGTGGGAAGAAAAACCATCATTGTGGCCTTAGCTAGATATGATGTGTGTGTCTTAAATGACAAGTTGAGTAATATTGCTGCAGTTCTCTGAGCTCACCACATGTGCCTCATGCTTTAATCTGTTGCTGCAACATCATCACCCTGTGGAAAGTCAAGAGAAAGGCAGATGGAGGGAGGAAAAGTGGGCGGTGGGGGGGGGGGAGGAAGAGACCTGGCATTTGAGTCATTGGGACTTTAGAGGGCTTTTCCTTTGACTATATAAACATGATAGGAAGTCACTTTAAACCTAAAGCATGATTTACATATGATGTAGTCTGTGTGCTGCAGTTTAGAATGGATTATACATAGCATAGAGATTTCTCCCTATGGATGATTCGACTTATAGGTTTCTGTCTACGGGTGATCCTTCAATTTCTTTCTCTGATAGGTTTCAGATCTGAGAAATCTGGGAGAAATTTGCATGCTCAATAAGTTAGCACTTTACACATCAATAAGCCAGAATGTTTTCCCAGACAGCACACTCCAGAGAGCCCTTCCTTGGTTCCAGCAGTTATGAATTAACTGAAAGGTGTGTCTTTGCTTAATGGAGCCTTTATTTGGAACAGGGAGAGATGTAAAAAATATTTGAAGTGTGGTAGAAGGTAACACACATTTTCTTCGTGTGCACAGAATATGGGACAGCATATGGAGTGCCGCACAAAGATGCAGTTTCACACACATTCAGCTTGTAGGCCTGTCTGTGGGTAGCTTGTTGATTTTGCCATGTTTCTGTGCCTGGGGCATTTATCTTGCCTTAATCCTCCCCCCCCCCCACCTTTTGAAAGTTGGAAGAAGTCATGTTTGCTCTTTTATAGAGGTTGCCAGCTCAGCATGTTGTCCTTTTTCCTTGGGGAAGGAGGAGCAATCTTACTTATTTATAATGCTAGGTTAATTGCTATAAATTATTTAATTAGCAGAAATATAATATGCATGGTGGCATTCTTCTCTATATTTAACAATATATTATTTTTTCCTATGCATTACAAGATCTTTTATTTTCTTTCTCTGTATAGTAGCTTTGGCTGTTGAATGGTACTGATGCTGCTTGTGATATCCCTCAGAACTTAAAAAACAATGGGAATGTAAGGGGATGAGAAACATTCAGCACAAATATCATAGTCTTTTCACTTAAGGAATTGTGTATGGCCAGCTCTGTAGCTCATCCTGGGCCAACAAACTTCTCCCCATCATTGTTTATTGTGGGTGTAAGGGAAAGCATGTCTGTAGATATCTTTTGTTTCATATACAGTGGACTTTGGGCCTCGGCAAACGACTAATAGAGGCTTGGAAGAGGAGGGGCAGCCGCACGTTCGGCGCCCCTTCCTCTCCCTGAGGTCGCCCTCGGAGTCGCCGGCCCTCCGCACGGCCGGCGCTCCGGGGAAGACCTCACGCCGCGGCAGCCGAACGCGCCGCGGCGGAAAAGACAGCGAAAGTGCGCCCGACGCTGTTAATGCGCACTTTCGCTGTCTTGAGGAAGGAGCGCTGATTTAGCGCTCCTTCCAGGGTCGCCGCCGGTGCGCCGAGGTGCGGAGGCTGCGGCCCCGCGGCGCGCCAGCCCAAGGCGTCTGGGAAGCTCTCGTCTGCTTCCCCCCTTTGTATAACTATATTTGGAAACAGACAGGGATCTTGCAATGATGCATTCTGTACCATCCCCTCTAGGACATAGTGAAAACTTGTATCCATAGCCACAACAACCTGTTAGCATCCTTAGTGCCACAGATAAGGCTAGCTAAGAGAGAATGAAATGACAGGGTAGCCTCTCTTGGTGCTCACAGTGATAACAGACAGCTTTAACATGTAATGGTGTATATAGGGCAGGGAAGTCACTAGAGAGGTTCAGGGGAAGCAGACCACACCAGGTGACACCCTAAGTGGGGTTGACACATCACACATTTGCCTTTTGGCAGAAATGGGCTGTGGCTTTTGCCTACATCCCTTTAAAATGCTGGAGCTCAGCAGAAGAGATGATGTAAGTGGAGCAAGCCTTAGTGGGGAGAAAAAGACAGGCACCATTTTTTAATAAATAAATAAATGTTTTAAAATGATTCTTTTAACATTTTCTTTAAAATCATCACATCTTACCAAATTTTCACTTTAACCACACAAAACTATGTACATATTAATACATTAAGGCTGTGCATGTGATATTGTAATTTAAAAGTATAAATTTATTTTGCCAGTTGTTTATG